TAACGGGGGGCCCTGGACGGTGGGGGGGTGGGAGGCGGGGGAGCGGGAGAGCAGGGGTGCTCAGGAACCGGGGTTCACTCGGGAGCCTTTTACTCTGAGCAGCCCTGCAGCAGGGCAAGGCAGCCCCCCCTTCACACTGACTCACACCCGAGGAGCCTGTGCAAGCCCCTCTCCGGTGAGTGAGATCTGAATGGACAATAAATGGGCAGCTCTGCTGGACACGGGGGGCTCAAGGGCCGGGAGACAGGAGGTGTGGTGACTGCCCTGGCCGGTGGCGGATTTGATCCCGTCAGGGCGCGTACAGGGGGCAACCGATCGATGTTTTTCTCTCACAGTGATGCTCTCTCTCTTTCCTCTCCCTTCCTCTCTCTCTAAAAATCAATAATAAAGACATATCCTTGAGTAAGGACTTTAAAAAAAAGGAAATGCGGTGAGTTCAGGTAACCTGAATATAAAGGTTTCTAAAGATGAATATTTGTGCCCGGCCAGCGTGGCTCAGTGGTTGAGCGTTGACCTATGAGCTAGGAGGTCACAGTTCAATTCCCAGTCAGGGCACAGGCCCGGGTTATGGGCTCGATCCCCAGTGGCGGGTGTGCAGGAGGCAGCAGACCAGTGATCCTCATCATTGATGTTTCTCTCTCTCTCTCGCTCCCTGAAATCAATAAAGATATTTATATAAAAGAGGACTATTTGCCTCATGCCCAGCACACCCCGCAGGGTTAGCTGTCCCGGCACCGGGATTTCAGACACAGGAGGCCACATGCACAGCTCTGCTCCCCCGCCCCCCGCGCCCACGCCCCTCACCCCCTGCGAGTGCAGGTAGTCCATGGTCCGGGCGATGGTGCACAGCACGGCGCTGGCCTCGCGCTCCGAGAAGCAGCGCTGCCGCAGGATGCGGTCCAGCAGCTCCCCACCGCGCATCAGCTCCGTCACCAGGTACACAAACTGCCCCTCGTCGTAGACCTGGGCCAGAGGGCACAGGGGTCAGTACTGCGTCCTCCACGGCCACCCCACCCCAGGCGCGCTTGTGCCCAGG